GGACGGTTTCCGTGAATTTAATTTTACTGGATGTGAAATTGTGTTTTTATGTACCTTAGTTCCCTAACCCTTAGATCAATCAAAAAGGTAATTCCCATGGTCTAATATAGAACTTGCTTTCAGAATAAAAACCATCAAATTCAAAAGGGCAGCATTTCACAAATTTTATTAACACCATCATGTTGTTTCACATGTTTACATCGAACAGCGAGGCGGACAATATGCTTCGAGATATGTTTGTTGGCGTTGGATTTCTAACCAAGGAAGAGTCAGCCAGACAGCCAACAGTTGACGGGAATCAAGCTTCCTGTTATTTTACTATATTAAATAGCCATTGCAAAGAGAGGGATTTTTATATTAAATATGTATGGAGAATAAAAAAGAATCAGTCAACGGCCGATATCTTCATCAAGGCAAGGTATGTTTCTCCAAATATCCTGTATATACTAAACTAGACATGCTATTAGATATGTTGGTTCTCCGTAAATGTTCATATGGCAAATGGGTTCACAACCGCACGTTGTTCATGAGCAAACTTCATGGTTCCGTCGTCTGACAGACCAAATGTAGAGCACTCTTCCTTTACTGTTGTCGGGAGTTGCAGCATTTGTACCAATCAATTCCGTTTAAGAAACCTACGGAGAACAACTTGCACAGGATGTCTGGGGTATGCGTCATCCTTTTTGGAAAATCAAACCTTCCAGGTTTGTTTAGTAGTTTTCATGTTTTGAAACCGTCGCAGAGCATATCATGCAGCTGGAAGGCGAAGCACAGACGCGGTGTGACGTATAAGGTCAGCTGCAGTACTATTTCTTCTGTACATGGGATACGAATAACATAGCTTGCCGGTTTACAGACATCATAGGAATTGGTGGCACCTTAAATATAATGAAAAAATACCGTTCTACGAGTTAGTAACATTGGATACATCAATGAGGGCGACACCAGTAGCCTTTGGATTTATAGTTGGCGAGACATCTTATCTTATTGAAAAGTTTTTAGCCTTTTTCGTGTCTTTCTGGTATACTGGTAAGAAGCTTCAGTAGTGACAACAGCCCTGTTATTGCTCTAAGTGGAAACTTTCTGACTGCGCACCACACTTTGTGCAGATTTCATATCACACGGAACGTTATCCAGAGAGTAAGTAGGTTTCTAAGATGGCTCCCGATGATTATGACAATGAAGCCAGTGCAGGGTGCTCAACAGTGAATGTTCATCGCTTAACATGATTCATTTAATTCACATGAATTCGTAAAATATTGGAACCGATATTAAATTTAGTATTTTTAGTATTTTCTTACAACTCTAAAAAATAATGATCATGGTAATCATTTCATTAATAGCATAAAATAGATGAATTTGAACTTCATGATAATTTGTATCCAGTTCACTGCAGTCTATTATTATATTTATTCATGATTAGTAATGTTCGTTTATAAGTTGACCTCTTTCTAATTGTTATCAGGAAAATCAATGGAATCAGCTGACCTTAATATTCCGCTACAGCTTGTTAGGATTTATGTAAGATTATATTTAACGCAATTGTAATATAGTCTTATCAGTTGGTAATTCTCTTAGAGTACTGATTCTTCAAACCATATTAATTGTCTGACATGAATTCAATATGTTCACTTAAAATATTCATACGGTATGAGGTAAACTTTCTAAAGTGTGTTTACGCTTGAGTGATTAGTACATGTGATAAGCACAAATCCTGCTTATCAAATATGACAAGATAAAAAATTATCCTGTAGTATGATACATTCATACTACGTGGTTTTCACGTCACGATTGACTCTAGCTAGAAACTATTCTGTGTATTCAAAAAATACAAGCTAGTATTTAAAACATCCAAAAAAATTCTTAACTGTTAATGGTTATCTTCTGCGTTCAGTTGCAAAAGTAAATTAACCTACGTTCCTCACCAGAGTAAATTCCCTTTAAAAACTTGTTACTATTATCAAGAGCATTTGATTAAAAATGTCACTCACATAGTTGAATACGGGCATAACTGAATGAAGACATCTCACTGAATGGTTTATTCAAATACGAATGGTACTTAACTCTTTTCACTGTAGTTTAGTGGTTTCAAGGAACCTCTTTGTACTTCAGTCATATGAATATATAATTTGTCATATTAGTTATTTTCATCTAGTTTTCTGTGTATTCAACTTTTCTTGATAGATCGTTTATTGAGAAAACCATCTGACTTGTTTCGTTAAGTCATATATTTTTTTAAAAGTAGTATAACATATTAGCTTACTTGTAAGTGCTCAAGTCATCATTATGTTAATAATAATAATAATAATAATAATAATAATAATAATAATAATAATGTTTATAGACAAAAATTCTATTACAATTTTATAATGTGCTACTATTTACAATATTACATTTATTACTTCTGTACTATTGAGTTTACTTAATTATTTTCAGATTTGAACAACCCGTTTAAGAGTATCCTCATTGGTTAAACAGATTATAGGAGAAAACAAGCACATAACCAATCGAATAAACCTCCTTAGGGGCAGAAGAATTATAAGTTTAGACACACATCGCATTCGCGTATGCAGTTGTTCAGACTAATTTGACTAGTAATATGAATTCTATATACAATTTGGAAAGAACTTACTTACCAATTAGTGTAAAATGCGACAATTGTTGACATCTCCATGCTAACATAACAAACGGATCAGGGTTGACATCATCAGGCGCTTTATACAAATTCGGTGAGTAAAAAACAAGATTTGATGAAGTAGATGATTGTGGAGCCTCGGAAAAATTGGAATAATAATTACAATCGTAAGGTAAATAATCACAATAATCATTAACATTGGTTTTAGTTGTATTGATACTATCATGAGTAGAAATGAGAGCTGAATGAGATACAACGCTTGTATCACTACCACCACCCTTATCGATAGCACTTTCCTCACATGCAGTTGATTTCATTATGCTCAAACTATCATTCCCATTTTTTGGTAATATAATTTCTGAATTAGACGAGTATTCAATTTGTCCAACCATCTTATGAAGTGATATTGGTGCTATCAATGATTGGTGTATTTGATCACCAGACAAACATGACCCTGACGGTACCGGTAAAGACGAAGATGATGAAGTCAAAGATAGACTGGTTGAAACGGGCAGCAAAAAATTACCTGAGTAATAATTATTATTACTACAACTTTTGTCTTCATAATCAAATAAATCATAGGAAGAATCACAGCTCAATATATCAAAATCACTTGTACTATCCAGTAATAATGAATGATGTGAGGAATAAGAACTGAACATTGACTGATAATCAGAGTCAACACAGTCGTAATTATCATAATTAATAACAGCATCATAAGAAATTGTTGCTGGTGTATTGGCAATAAATCTAATGATATTGCCATTACTATTATTATTATTATTATCATCACTACTAGTAGTAATGGTAGTATATTCCGTATAATGAGAATTATTATGTAAAATACCGTTAGAATTGTTTGACATCACAGATATTATATTGAAAGTATCAATTAGATAGAAATGCTCTAAACTCATAGCAAATGTATCCATTAAATATTGTATAAGATAAGACAATGGATCTGGTTTACAATAGTATATATAAATTGAATTTAAAGGCAAAGCAGAAGGCAAAAGTTTGGTTGAAAGTAATTGATAAATTTGATTCTGTTCACCATATGGATGATGATCCTCCCTTAAATGTTGTTCACGTTCATTTTCCAGTCGACATTGCACCGGTATATGCGGTGAAGATGAAGACGTTGGCGATGAGGATGTAGAAGTGACAGAATGGGATGGTGACATCGATGAATATGATGATGGTAGTGGTAATTGATTATCAAGTTCTTGAGTAGTATTTTGTATGAAAGACATTTGTTGATTGATTGAATTCGAATGGATTGTTGATTGTTTGAGATCGTTTACACAAATTAGGAATAAAGTCACACGCAAATTAGGAAGTATTTCATGCACATGTCTCCAAATTTGATTTCTGGGATAGATGGGGAGACAAAAAGAAACTAGACTAGAGTAACAGTTTAACTGGAAATAATGATGAAAAACAGTTGCTACCATCAGCTGGCTACACGTAGTCGAGATCAAAACGTCAATAATGAACAGCAGATTCAAGTCAGTCATAATTAACGTAGAATGGGGTCATAAAAGTTTCCTCCCCCAAGCTGTTACATTAAATCAGAGCATCAAAGTGAAATTAATAAGATAAATAGCCGAGAAACTTAAACAATAGCGTCGATAATGGTTGAAGAGGCTAAATACAGTTTACTACTCCAACAAAAATTTACAAATAATGCGTTGTGGTTATCATCATCGACAACACAGTACATTTAATCGTTTAGCTAATTATTTGGATGTCTTATTTTTTTTCAAAACTACACATGCACTGACAATGTCGATTTGTATCTATCAATCAGCATGATTAATTTAATCCTGACCGTAAGGCTATATATATGAATTTGGATAATCATAGCATGCAAACAAGTACACATCTTTACATAACACAAGATGAACACACTTCACACCAAATGATGACCGATATTCATAACTCGACATGTAGGCAGGATTGGACAACTGTTTTGTAAACTGTTTTTTTTCGTGACCTTTTTACATTTGGTCACTGATTATTTCCCTGGCGAAGCTTGGAACCGACTATAGAGTGAAGAGCTAAAGGTATCTTATTTCCAATCTGAGATTAAGGGGCTTATACAGCGTTAACAATACATTTAGTTGTTGCTGTCATCAGTATATGACAATTTAAGAAATTAGGACACGGTGCTCTAAAATCTGAGTAATAGCCCAAAAGCCCTTTATAAACATACACCAGCTACCTAGACCGACAGATACATGAAACCTTGCATAATCAGACATGAGGTTACAGAACAAAAGTATGACAGTATCCAGAAAGAATAATGAGATGACGTTTTTGGGAAAGATAAACATTGAGGGTATCCAACATACTTATCCATAAAAACTCCCATTTCATTTGAAATCATTCGATTTTTATGAATGATTGCCAAAATCCTACGTTCGCCCCCTAATACTTAGACAAAAATGTGTCATTAATTTCAAGTCTTCGTTTGACCAACCAAGTCTCTAGTGTCAAATACATTAAAAGACTCAGTAATTCAACGTACTTAAAATGTGTAATAAAATAACTACAAAACAACTTGATATTCCTAGTAAGTCAGTCGGTTACTTTTGATTCAGGAAATCGCATGAATGTCTACTGATCTAAGTTTCTACATGACATCGGCACAATAAGGGAGAGAGGTAGTAAGAAAAACAGATCAGAGAAACTAATTTCAACTGATATGGAAACAGTATACTATACAACTATTTAAAATCATAAAACTCACCGAATTATGGGAAGATCTTGAACATTGTTTTGTACAAAAAGTTTTAAAATACGAAGATGGTTTGAATTTCTCGATAAAATTAAAAGGATATCCTCCGAAAGATTTACGTAATTAATAGAAAATTGGTTGAGGTTGGAAAATATAAATAATCTTGTATTTAAATATGACATGGATTGATTAATTTGAAATAATCTGATAATTTGTAATGATAATAAATTATGCTTTTGATTTTTTGTCAATGATTGTAATACACGACTGACTTCATAACTTCCACAATAAGTCCCACCCCAATAAAAATTTTTTAAACATTTAGCATTCATAATGACCTCACATAATGCATTTATTATTCTGAAGTTTAAATGGGAAAAAGAAAGAATAATAGCATACTTTTAAATGCATAAAAAGTAAAAATAGATAATTACATGGTCGAATATTAAAAAAACATCCTTATAGTTTAAAATACAATGAAAATGTGTTTCTCTACCAAACAGTAACGGGGTAAATTGGTAGTTGAGCCATTCGAATTTTAACCCGATTAGGTTCCAGGCTTGAATCGAACTTCACGTTCACTGGCCCAAGCAGATCTCAAAAATAACTTCACAAGTCAAAACTGAATACATGAACCCGTATTTGGTGGCTGAATTTGGTTGAAATTATCTCTTTTTCCTTTTTAGCGAACAATAGTAAAAATCTCATTGAAATAATGAGCCCATCAACGTTAGACAACCATTTAAAACCTGCCAGCACAGGAGGGCCGTTTCTCCCTAGTATATGACTCTTCAACAGTGCGCACTAATCACCTCACAACGGGAATCAGACCCAGAACCCACCAACTCGCACGTGAAAGCTTAACCTCCGGACCACTGAACTGATGTTCAACGGCGTTAATGTCTAACTTCAACCAATCCACGATGTTGCGCGGCCATCTTCGATTGTTCTCCATGGGTAACTGCCTCACACTCGACACGGTTGAACTACACTGGTCGCGACTTCTAATAAGAACTCCGAGAATCACCTCGCAAAGTTAGTCAATTTGGATGAAATTCAACAATCTCCACAACCCAGAACTGAAAATTATCATATGCTCAGTAATGGTCTAAAGGTTAAGCGTTCGCTTGGGACCAAAAGTCCTTGGTTCGAATCCCGCGTGTGTGATCATAGAGTAGCACTGCTGAGGAGTCCTATACCAGGATGAAACGGTCATCCAGTGCTTTCAGGTCTTCACTGATGATCTAACATTGATCGGTTTATGATATAAACAAAATACAACAATTTCCGCAACTTCAAACCGAAAAGAGTAGAGAAAGATGAATATGCTTGTTTTATATTAATAGTATACTAAAAACTAAAAAATAGGAAGTTCAAATACGGGGATGTACATTGGAATAAAAGAATCACCCTTGTGGCTTCCGATGATGATGGTTCTCGAATTTTGTAACTGAAGTGAAGTGAGTTGAACATGTGACTTACAAATGTGATATACGATCTTAGTAACCAAGTGCAAACCCGTGTATTACCGTAACCAATGGTTAGAGATGTGGCTTGGAATTGTTCGCAATATGGGAGGTGCATTCACTCTTTGTATCTCTCTAGAACCTGAGTCTGAAAATCTCTTTGTAATCCTAATTCTCCATACCTGATCTTTTCTTACTACTGCTGATACTGTTACTAGTTCTACTACTCTGAGATTTCTTTAGAGATAATTTTATCTCGCTGTATTAATGTGGTATAGCAACTTGAAATGATACACATGTTAGGATCTACGCTGATTTCCTTTGAACTATTAATTTTGTATAGGTGTGGTAGTATTGCTAAGCTAAGCCGGATACTGTAAAAGGGATCGAACCTATAACACACGGTTTGAAAACCCTCTTTCATTTTCAAGTGACTGCTCCACCATCACTATAACCCTATTGCGCTATACTTCAGAATAACAGAAAGACGGTTAGAAATACAGGTTTGGCTGATTAGATATATTTACACCAGTAAATCTAAAAGTACGTTTGTTGCTCTTTGAACGGACAATAGGAGAATGAAGAGGACAAAATTATGAAAGTGGGGACCCACTCAGGAAATTTAAAAATCTTGAACTGATAGACAGAAATGCTTCTGGGTAGGTAAATACCTTTTGTACACATGGATCACCCAGTTGTAGTTTATTCTTTATACAGAGTATTTAGTCGATCTCCAGTACCGTGGAAAGTATGTAAACAGTTGACATCCTCGTGGGTTACTCATATTATCAAAGATCATTTTCCCCTACGTAATTAAAACAAAAAACATGACCAGTCTTGATGACCTCGCAACCCGATGGATTGATTGCAACGGTTAAGAAACTGTTTGGAACCTGCCACACACAACTGTTGAGCAAAATATTTTATTTTCTTATTTACCAAGCATAGATTAGTGCAATCAGTTTCGAGACACTATGGAGGTTAGCTGTACTATTAGGTATGGAAAATCGAAGTAGGTGGAGCAGGACTCAAACATGCGGCTCACTAGCTGGAAGTTAAACCCCTTAACCATTAAGCCACTGCTCTACAGATACATCCACGTACAGCACTTCTCAATAGGTGGTTGGGAACGAGTAAGTTTTAGAATACAAAACATCCCTCTGTAAAACGATATACTGCTAATTAGTCATCATAGTTTAAAACAATTCCATCTAGCTCATTATAACCGGATGTTTTTTGTCTCAATTTAATCATGGAGCGTCTGTGGAATTAAGGTAACATACAGCCAGTGATCTCAAATTAATAACAGCAACTATAATACCTTATCAAAGGTCACAGGTCGTCCCGTCTACTGTAGGAAACTATTACATATAGAAGGATGACTGTTAACCCGAGGTGAAGTTTAAGGTACTTTAGAAAGGGAAGTGAGCACAAGCAGTACCCTTACGATCAATTATCTGTGGACAATTTGACTCATTTGTATAGTCCCAGGAAATCTTGGGACTCAACTCTAAAGTTATGTGGGTGAAAGATATACTAAAGTAAATGGCTTTTCTAAATAATGTAAATAAATCTCCATCAAACATATGATTTTCAGTTAATTTGAATTTGTGTCAACTGTGTTTATTTATCTCTGCACCTCTTGAATACCTTGTTAAATAAGAATGTAATTTAAATTTCTCATAATTGAAACCCTCTGAGTCTTAGACATATTTTATCAGCTATCAGTTTACTTGTTACCTTCTCGTAAATTTGAAGTCTTAAGTCATTGATAATGGAGTACTACATGGTGAAATGGGTACCTGGGCGTAGTTTAGACCCAAGCATTGCTGTTGAAAAATGACTATTCATTTATCTCAAAATTGTAGAGGCATGTCAATTTACTCGACGAAGTAGGATCCAAAAAACTGTGTCAAGTTTGTAATCCATCAACAACGTTTGAGAGACACCGAAGTGTCTTTAAGAATCTTTACCCACTTACTAACATCAAAGAAAGTCATGTTATTGAGTAATGGAGACTAGAGTATCGAGTCAAATTAAGATTAGAGTTGTCAACACGGACTGACACCGACAATGCTAAAAATGAAAGTTGGCCACGGGGATTTCTGTGCCTAAATACAAAACTCGCAACCTTAGATCTGATTGGTTTGTCCATAAGTTATAATCTCGCGATAACACTATGTGGACAGACTGCATGTACATGAATAGATATGACACAGCTTATTCACAATTTAAGATAAAGGAAATAATTTTCCATAACATACTTTTTTGAAAGTCGGTTCGAGATATTTAAAGAGGAATTATTGTATAAAAGTTTTAATTTCGGTCGCAGGGAAATGGAATGTATTCCAGCATTCGAACACAAAGCACCCAGTGTGTATTCCAAAACAGCAACATGAGACTCATTCCTTGGGTCAAATTCAAGCGAAACCTCGTTACAAATTTTCATAGGGATAATCTGATTCTTGAGAGCTTCAACTTCTGGAAAATTAGGAGGACATATATGTAGTTTCTTCCATACAGATCTATCGGTGTATGCGACCCCACGCCAGTGTTTGCATACGGTAGAAACGTAAACAACTTCATCGCCTAAATAACTGTATATACGCTTTACAATATGGTAAGGCAAAAAGCTCCAAGACTGAACCGACGAACCAAAGTCCAATGCCATACGATATAACCGCCAGTCATTTGGGGAATTGACGGCCTAACAGAATTAATAAATTAAGCATTAAAACGCAGGCCAATAAACAAAGAACATTCACGTATGACTTCACGATTAGACTGTGTAGTATACCTGCTTGTAGATGTTCAGATCTCAAATTTTCTTGGAAGAAATGGAAACCAATTTGTTTCTTAAGATATGTAGGGCTAGTGAAATTTCACTGGGCAGTTGCCAAATCATCCGGCAGTTAGGTCACTGGATGTTGAACAGTTCATCGATTGCCGTCAAGGTTGAGGAAAACCAACGTGCATCAATTAACCGTACGCCATAGACTGGTCCATGCAGTAGAGGTCACAGTTTTGCTTGTACCTACTCTGATATATTTCTGTTATAATATCCTTTGTGTTATACGGTCTTAAAAGCATCCTTAGTACCGTCATACGATGAAGGTGTAGTCCATGTTCGGTGCTGGACGTTAGTTGTGACTTCAGTGTTAGCTGTTGGTCACACCGTTGCTACCTAACTCGAGTAGGCTCACAATCATGCGGCATAGATTATCAACGTTGTTAATCTACCGATCTGAGTTCCGGTTAACAGACAAGATTCTTCTTTATGGGGAGGTAAAAACTTTTGTTTCAGTCCCTCAAGATACAAAAATCCTTGTATGATAATAGGGATAACTGAGGTAAATTTCCCCAGCAATTATTCTTCAGTGCTAATGATCAACATGCAAACACATTCACACTTCGAAACTGAATATGTAGGCGGCTTTGTTCTAACAATATCCAAAATCTCTTGATCGCCTTGAACAACAGTGCTAGCGTGTTCATGATTCGCTTCTCTCCTTCTAAATGCAAAATATTGCTTCAAGACTTGGCTGTGTCAACATCTAAACTAGTGATAGGGAGTGAAGTAGTCGAATGTGTCGACCGCCCCACTTACCTTGAACGTTTCGTCAGCCCTGTTGAGTATGTGTCTATTGGAATATTGGGAGTTGTTCAAAAAATTCGGTTGGCTTTTGCCAACCTGTGTCACCTGTGTTGTGGGGGAGCTGTTCCTATGTCAACCAAGAGATTGTTATATTACAGAGCAGTTTACTTTGTTATTTTTTATTGTTGTGAAACACGGTTTTCGGAAACAGAGGACATTCGTGAGTCAGCAGTTATGGTTCATGCACTGAATATTTCCATCCATCTACTATCTTGACGGACAGTAGTTGCTGATAATAAATTACATTAGATAAATTTTAGAGACTCCAAGACCATGGCAAAAGATCAGTCCATGAAGCCGCTGACTGTCCGACTGGGTCATGTAAGTAGGTGCAGACTATCTAGTTGGAGTCCTTATGACTGTCTTGACCGATGTTTAGAAACCTTTTGTGATACTGCATAGATGAGGTGCATTTATTCTTTGTCTTCTCTTAGATCACAAGTTTCTGAATGTCTTTTACGTATTTTTTATCCCACTAACTTACATTTTCTTGTCGATTGGTATCATAGATGCGTAAGCACTTATATTTCAACTAACGCTTTTACCACCTATACCACTCAGTGATTTGCCCTGGCAGCTTCACCTCTTTTTCTGATAATGGATTTCAGTAACTTAAAACGATGTATGTGCGTGAGACGTCCTAAGCTGCGTACGTTAAGTCATTTAGTGCCATTAATACTGCTTCTGATATCGAATTTGACATATAGATTCTAAAGATTAAAAAATTCATACATATTTCTGCGTCTTTATTAAGATATCTTCTTAGATATAATTTTCACTAGATTGCATTAGTAATCCATTGAGATAACGCGGATTATGACTGAAGTGAATCATCATGATTGTATTCCTCCTTGTCTGTCTGTACAACAAAATTTATCAGGCTAATGGAGGCAAACTTTTTTAGTAAGATTGAAATTTTAGCCTTTAGTTTCCTGTTGATCGGACTCCAATTTGAAACAACACATGAACATGTAGAATTATAGTCTAGGTTCGTTATTTGTACCGCTGTATTGATAGACCTATACATAGAACTATATAAAAACAGTCAGGGTCGATAAGCGAATAATTGACAAGGCCGGAATGTGACTCAAGAAGAAATAAGTTTATCTCTCTGGGAGCTAGAATACTACAATGAGTACTAAACACTACATGTTCTAGTGGACAGCATCATCGACGAACAAGGAGGATATGATGCAGATGTAAAGTCGAGGATTAGCAATGCAAGGACAGCATCCCTACAATCGAAGAATGTTTGGAACTCAGACTGCATCACAATGAAAGCTCTAAGATGAAATCTTGAATGAAACAGGGGAAGAGGAATATCAAAGAATACATTGCGTCGGAAATTAGAGGCAGATATCGAAAGAGTGAATAATAGATGGAAGCAACTGGAGCGGATTGCCCAGGACAGATTTGGACGGAGAATGCTGGTGGAAAACCTATCCTCCTCCACGATGGGTCACAGGAGTAAGTAGTAGTGCCTGCACTGTTGCTAGTCTTGAAGAACACCTTGGTTTGCTTCCCATAAAAAATGACTTATAACCCACATAAAGCGCTGATCTATAAATTGGCGAGTCAACTCCTTTGGAACGAACTAACGGTAAAAGATGCTGAAATGCTGGCAATCGAGTCTACATATGGCTGATTTCAGTACGCTATAGATAACTGTTTTACATTGGAGATGTATGTCCCAAAGCAAAATATAAAATGACGAGTACAGTATAGCTTCACCCACTTGATCTAGGTATTATTAGCACTGATCATAATACTTGTGAAAGAGTTGTTCCAGAGGCTATGCTAATCAGACTTGGTATTAGATGAAGAAAAAATAAAGAGGAATATTTATCATAATACGTTTTTGGTAACAATCCAGAAGTAAGCGGTGATACATCCTAGCTGTTTCTCTTGGTACCGTGTGTCAAAAACCCATTCACGAATCTGCATATCTGCAATCTTTTTTTGAAAGTTGGACCTAAAGTCATGGTGCATGTCAGAGATCACCCATACAGCACTAAAATCTGTTCGCTAGTGCTCCGGAGATGCCAAAGACATTACAACTGAAGTTGAAAGTCATAAGGCCTTCGGAAATCACAGCAATTGCTTCGCATGTTTAGAAGCCCTTCATCTGGGACTTGATCTATATTCAAATTACCTAGATGTGGATATTTTTAACCGATTCAGTGATTATGCTTTATTATGTCAGGACTGAAACTAGCCAACTAAAAGTATTTATATCCAGCCGAGTTTCGGCACAATGTAATAGACTTAAGGCCCGGTTAAACAACGATTCATTTCTAAAATGGACGTAAAGAGTCCTGCGTACGTACTAGTGTTTACCAATGTTCCGGTAGCAACCTTTTCTAGGAATGAGAATGAGGGCTCGCATACTCCTAATTAATGATGGATTCAATATCATTGAAATCAACTGATATTAAGGGGTTGACTTAGACTATCACAGTCAGAACCCTAGTTATCTGTTCTCAGATATTATCTGCCAATAAAAGTCAGTGGATTAAATAAGTTCCCTATACGTACAAGTGCACTTAACTTTGAAGAGTCATATTCACTATAACTAGATTAGATTGGGTTTACTCAAAACAGATCATGAACTTCTATCATGTAAAAGAGGTATTTAAATGACGGCAGTTGGCTCCTTTCTAAACAGGGAGAGTAGTGGAGAAGTTGGTACCTTAGAAATTATTTCTAATTGTTTGGCCGCTTCTGACCGAGCTACTTATTTTAGGAGCATAAATATTACTTCTATTTACTGATTACTTCATTCTAAATCGCCCGTAGGATCAATATTACTATAAATGGGAAGTTACAATGTAGGTATAGCTACGCTTCGAACAAAGAAGAAATTAGGCAGTAGGTCTGTAATTACCTAACAAAGACTCACGGAAGGTAAGAAACGATAGTTTATGTATCACATTAAAACTTAGTATTAGAAGAATATAGGAACGGGACTATCTAAGTATCTCGTACATATTCCGTAAAGATATCAGCAACAATTCTTGGAAAAGTAGATCCCAAATTTACGGCTCTCACACTATTCAGGTCGTTAAAAAAGCACATATTTATGAAAGCTCTGATAGATTACAGGTTACTGTATGCAGGTGGTCAGCTTCCATCTGGCCTTTAATATAAAGTAAGGAAATATCTTATTGAATTGCAAGAGAAGGAAGAAGTCGCGGATTCGGTCTTAAAGAACTATCAACAGTAAGTGCCACTCATGTAATAGTGATAAAGTGTGCCTTAATCATGAGAAGAGTTACACGAATTTGTATTATCTGCTGAAGAAAGAATCCCCGCCCAGTTGAATAACTAATAAAAATCCTTATCAAATGCTGGAGTAGAGAGTGGTGGCGATTAATTCGTATTTGCAGTAGGCCATTCTGCAATAATTAGGGTAAAGTTCGATGAAGCACAACACTCATATACTAGCATATTTTACATGTGAATTATTCATTCGAAAGTGATAGACAGCTTCTCAGCGGCATCGTTTATAATGGTGTTGACCGGAATTACTAGGAAAATAAGTTAATCAAGGAACATATCTGATAGCAGTGAGTATGACTTGTTCACAGTCAAACATCAGATGATCATCTAGGTTTCTAAGGGTATCGAACGAAGTCCTTGTGACCCTGAAGTACTTTTAGATTACATTCATACTTCCGCAGGTCCTGAGACTTATCTATATCTCCTGATTAAGTAGCTATGAATAAAAACTACCTTTTTATAATAATCCTCCTTTGGCTTCAACTATGAAAAGGAATAAGACTCTTGTTGCAGTAAAAGTTGGAATAGATTCTTGAACCTTCCACTCACCAAAAGCCATTACAGTAAATATATCACTTTTAATTCAATTTCAATAAATTTGTTGCATGAAGCCTTAGTATTTAGTTTTCTATCATCTTATCCCGGGCTCTCGAAATCAGTTCTGACCCAATTTGAAGCCTCAGATCCGTTGTGTGCCTCTAATTTATTGCAAAGAACATAATCTTGAAAGCCATGAAACCTAGATCAGGAACTATAATAATAATATA